ATTTATTTAAATTAAAAAAAAAAAAAAGTATGGTCCATATTCATGCTGATGAAAGATACTATAAAAATATTCCTTGTTGAAATAACTGCACTATAAACTCCTATAATCTCAGACTTTATGTATGTATGCATGTATGCCTTTGTTCTCTTTTGCAACAAAGACTAGATGCAGAGTTCACCGAGAGTGGCTTGGCACTACTATCACCACTTCAAGGTTTTTGAACTTTTCACAGGCCAATCTAGCTCCTTTCTGAAATCAAATAATAAAAATGCTTTTATAAATGAAAGTAGAAAATAGTAAAAACTGATTTCTAAAACAACATATCCTTTGAATTAATTACCAACTATCTTAATTACAAAATCTTAATTACTGTTTAAACAGATCTAATAAGAAGTTCTCTTACTCTCTGCCTGCTGTGACAGTAGATAATACATATTTATAGAATGAATAATTTTCTCGGCAATGTTGATACAGTTTGACAAGAAAGGATTATTTTCACAAGAAAAAGCAATGCAGGAAAAAAACAATTTTTTCTTAAAGCTGCTGTCCAGAAATTATGTTAAGTTCCAAGTAAGGTTTTACTTTCTGCACTTCAAAGTAAATTTGCATTAAAAGACAAGATCATAACTTAAAATTGAGCTGTAGACAAAATTGAATTTTAAGGTTCAATTGAAAATAGCCTCTGAAATTAATACTTCAGTTTTACTACTAATACTCAAGCCCTCTGGTGTGTTATTGACCACTTGATAAGGTCAAGTATTTGAAAGTAAAATACTAGTGAAGTACTTACTAGTAACAAAAACTAGCAAGAGGAAATAACTTAGTGGTAAGTGAACAGTTTTTAACATATTAGTAAGGAGAGTTAGAAATATGACAGTTTCAAAAATATACAGAAATACAAGGAGTTTTGTGGTGGTGATAAAAATGTTTTGAAATTAGTGGTGATGGTTTTACAACCTTGTGAATATACTAAAAGTCACTGAAATGTACACTTTAATAAGGTGAATTTTATAACATTATAATCAAGTAAGCCCTTTTTAAGGAAGGTGAAGTGTCCAAGAGATTCTCTCCTGCTGGCTTGGAAAATAAAGCAAAGTACCGTGCTGTGAGCAAAGGGGCCCAAGTGGCAAGGACCTGAGGGTAGCAGCTGAGAGCAGTTCCCAGCCAATCGCTAGCAAGAAAATGGAACAGTCATAGAATCACAATAAAACGATTTCTGTCAAAAACCAGTAAGCTTGGAAGAGGACCTTAAACCTCAGATGAGACTGCAGCACCGTCTGCCAAGGCTTTGATTTAGGCCTAGTGAGTCCGTGGAAAAGAGGACCCAGCTAATTCAAGTTAAACATCTGACACACAAGAATTGTGAGGTAACAAATTTGTGTTGTTTCAAGTTACTAAATTTCTTTCCCGTATGTACTGAATCACTAGGCAACAAAATAACAGTTAAGAAGCATCTCTTTATAAAGTAAATAAAAATAACAGAATTTAATATATGACCATTTTATAACCTCCAGTGAATTAAGTCAACTAGGATACAATAGCTACAAAAGAAAAAGAAAGAGGTGAAGAAAATCATAGATTATGTATGTTGTTGTTGCTTGTTCTGTGCCATCGAGTTGGACCCAACTCACAGCGACCTCTCCTTGGGTTTCTGAAGCAGTATCACTACAGAAGTAGATTGCCCAACCTTCCTTCCCAGGAGTGGCTGGTGGGTTTGAACCGCCAGCCTTCTGGTTAGCAGTCACTACGCTACCAGAGTTCCTAGAGATTATATATACTCTTGATAAAAGAACACACCACCACCTGTATTCTTGCCAAAGGAATCTAACTTAATTCTGATCAAGCCCCTGGATCCAGCTTCCAATTTACAGGTAATCATAAAGATGAGAAAACTACTCTAAACTGTATCATGAGTAAGCAATCAACAAAATCCACACTGTGGAAAATTCTGCATTCTGAATGGCCCAAGTTCTTCTTGTGTGTGTGTGTGTGTGTGCATATATATATGTATATATATGTACGTGTATGTACACATATATGTATATGTACATATATGTGTGTGTGTGTGTGTATATATAAAATAAAGAAAAGAAAGTACAAAGAGAGTACCTATAAACTAAGAGATTTAAAATCCATAATGACTTTCTTTTTTTTAACGAGCAAGATTAAACAATTAAGAAACACAAGAAAGGAAGAAAAAAAACCCACAAGGAAGTTTATTACCATAAAGTAAGCTTAGTGCTTGGTTACTTTTGAGTGGAAGGGGTTGTGATTGGGTTGAGACAAAGGGGTGGCTGGCAAAGTTCTACTTCTTAAATTGATAGTGATTACAAGTAAATATGCTTATTATTATTTATTTTTGTTTTATCTTACAATAAAAAGGTTTAAAAAATGAAAAAAATCTCAGGACAATAAATCAGATTTAAGGTAGAGTATATCTTTTGAGCAACAGGAAGTATTTACCTAAAAGACATTTTTATCATTAAAAAAAAAATGCTCTCTACAGTTATAGGATCTCTGGTAGCATAGTGCCTAAGGCACTTGACTGCTAACCAGAAGGCTGGCGGTTCAAACCCACCAGCCACTCCTCGGAAGGTAGGTTGGGCAATCCTACTTCCGTAGTGATACTGCCTCGGAAACCCAAGGAGAGGTCACTATGAGTCGGGGCCGACTCGACGGCAAATAACAACAACACAGTTATTAATAAGGACATAATTTTTAGCAATTCCAAAAATGTATTCTGAATGCCAGCTATTTTTAAAAAATATAATGAAGTAACTTCAGTTTTACCTCAAGCATTCCCCCTCTTCCTTTATTTATCCCATAAACGTCCACCATGAACATTACTTAGCCCATGTGATATAACATTACTTTAAACCAGACAGCGAATGTTCCCTTACTAAATCTAAAAACAGTAAATAAATCTAGTAAATACTTACTGAGAATCTATTACATAATCAGCACTATGATGTTTTTTATGGAAAATAGAGAAGCACATGCCGAAGCCCTTATCTTCAACAGCTTACTATCTAGCAGGTAAGATATTACTTGTCCATCTATAAAAGGAAGTATCTGAAAAAGAATACTTCAATGGTATCCCTACCCCTCCCATACCTATCTCAAAGCATATTAACAAGCATTCTTTTCCATTGGCCAAACATTAGTTCTTTTATACTTCTTTTATTTATTCATTTAACATATACGATCTTTTTGATGATTTTGTCAGCCCTCCTTTAGAGCTCTTTATCTTTCCCATCCTTTTAAAAGAAAGAGTATTAGGGAAATAAAATCGCAAAACAAAAAATGTGTTTCACCCCCAAGACTATGGCCCTAACATGCCTTTCTGACTTGGAACTGAAGCCATTCTAGGAGACCACCCTTCAGCCAAACAATAGGCCCATAATAATAAACAATAACACCCAAGAGAGGAATGTGTTCCTTAAAACAATCAATTATATAAGATCAAAAGGACATTTTCCCAAAAACAAAGAGGAGAAAGGAGAAGGGGTAGAAAATTCGGACAAAAGGAAACAAGGAACCCAGGGCGGAAATGGGGAGAGTAGTGACACACTCTGGGAAACACAGCCAATGACATGGAACACTTCACGTACAAAATATCGAACGGGAAACTAATTTGCTCTGTAAACTTCACCTATAGCACAATAAAAAATTTTGAAAATATAAATTTTTTGTTTCAGATGAGACACTAATAAGAACCCAAACAGGTAATTTGATAAAGGATCTAAATAGACAGTAAGAGAGAACCTCAAATGGCTAATATGCCATCGACTTACAGCGACCCCTCCTTGGGTTTCCGAGGCAGTGTCACTATGGAAGTAGATTGCCCAACCTTCTTTCTGAGGAATGGCTGGTGGGATTGAACAACCAGCCTTCTGGTTAGCAGTCAAATGCCTTAGGCTACATTACCAGAGCTCCCCCCATAAATAAACCTAAGTTCAACCTATCTAGTAATCAAAGAAACCCAAATTAAAATAAGATCATTTTTGCCTACCACAATAGCAAAAATTTGAAAGTGAGCATATTCAATGCAGCCTTAGGTAAAACAAGGCACTACTGGTAAACATGTAAACTGATACAATTTTTCTAGAAAGTACTTATTAATATCTATCAAGAGCTCTGTTGGTCCAGCAACTCATTTCCAAGAACCTTATTCTAGAGAAAAAATATACTCAAAGCAGCCTGAAAAAAGAAACTATTTAAATATCCAACAACAGGGAAATGGTATGCTTAATATACTATAAACATGTAAACACTAATTCATGTAGTAACAGTAGAAGGAAACAAATTCAAATTTTTAACAGTGAATTATCTCCATATGATGGGACTAAAGATAATTATTTTACTTTCTAAACTGTCTACCATGTATTACTTTAATAAGCAGAAATTAAAAACCCTAAAAATTTATATTAAAAAATCATTTGAAATGTCTTATGGCTTGAATCTATGATATTACCATTCAATACTAATGACTATTCATCATATTCCTTAAGGTAAAAAAAAAATCTTATAGATAAATGGATAAGGAAAAAGAAAAAAAGTAAAGTCCTGAAGACGATATCATAAATGTATGTGACCACATCCTGACACATTCCAAATATAAGTCCTCTACAGAGTAGCGAGAGAGATAACTTACAAAAAATGAGAAAGCAACCTCTACAACTAACTGAGCTTTATGATAAAGGAGAAACAAACTTTGGGTGGATCACAGCCTCATTGGAGAAACTGTCAGAAGCTAGACAGCTATACACAATAACAAACACACAAACTGTGTGCATAATTTCAAGAAGTTACCTGCCCCTGATACACTTCCAGGTTTAAGAATCATTCCTGTAAATGTTCTCATGAATCAGGGATTTATTTGACCTTCAGAAAAAAAATTTCCATCACTAATAAAATCAAATTTAAAAATAACACAAGCCACTTTCATGACAAATTCTTGTCCTACAACTAGGTTAATTCTCCCAAATAAAAAGATTTACCTTTCCGGAAACAGATTCTCCATCATAGAAGAGATAGTGTTTTTCTACTTTGCCATCTTCAGTTTTCATTTCTGCCATTTTCCTCGTTTCCCCATCATTAAGGACAACATCGATCTCACAGATAGGACCAAAGAAGCCTCCAAGAAAACTCTGAAATAAAAGGAAAATGCTCATAATCATCAAGTTTACTACATTTTGTAATTCAAATTTAACTACCTATGACCTACAGTTAAATAGACTAAAACTTGACAAGTTTCCAAGGGAATGATAGCCCTTTCTAGCAAATGCTACATCAAAATTAAACAAATTTAAACATTTCAGTCATTTGAAAATATCAGCTATATTGCAATCATTTCTATAGGTAACAACTACAAATAATCAAATACTAACATACACCAAGAAATGCTGGGAATGCAGTGGGAAAGGTATTTGGCTGCTAACCAAAAGGTGAGCGGTTGGAACTCACCAGTCACTCTACAGGAGAAAGATGAAGCAGTCTGCCTCCAAAATGATGTAAAGCCTTAGAAACCCCATGGGGCAAGTTGTACTCTGTCCTAATAGTCACTATGAGTCAGAACTGACTCAATGGCAGTGTGTTTCAGGTTTGGGTAACATACACCAGAAATCTGAAAAATTAATTCTTAACATTTGGAATTGAAATTACCTTAAATTTTACATCTGTGAGGTTATTTCACTACAGCAAAACTCATATAATCAATACAGATTACTTAAAATCCAGATGAATATTACCATGTATTACTTGCCATAAATTCTTAGACTAGAGCAGGTCTGAATAGGATTACATTGGATAAGCCCTTGGAGTAAAACTAGTGCTGGGACAGGACTAGTGACATTTCTGCCAATTCTCCAAAGAAAATATACAAGCCGTGTTCTGTAAATCCCAAATGTGACAGAAATATAATAAGGAACAAAGAGCAATTGCTTACCAGTACCAAAGCACATTATTTGGTAATAACAATATAGAACCATTAACAATTCTGATATTGAATGTTGTTGTGGTTAGCTGTGTAAGAATCAGCCCCAGGCTCATGGGGACTTCATGAACAACAGAATGACACCCAAGAGAGGCCCATGTTCCTTTAAAAAAAAAAAAAAAAACTCACTGCCATTGAATCCCCTCTGACTCATAGTGACCCCCACTGGGTTTCCGAGGCTGTAAATCTTCATGGAAGAAGATCCCCCAGTCTTCCTTACTCCCGCAGAGTAGCTGGTGGGTTTGAACCACTGATGTTCCAGTTAGCAGTCAAGTAGTGCCTTATCCACTACAGTGGCGTAGTGTTTAAGGCATCTGACTGCTAACCAGGAGGCTGGCAGTTCAAACTTCCCAGCCACTCCTCGGAAGGAAGGTTGGGCAGTCTACTTCCATAGTCGTATTGCCTCAGAAACCCAAGGAGAGGTTGCTATGAGTCGGATCCACCTCGATAGCAGTGAGTTTGCTTTTTAGTTTATCAGAGCTCCTTCATGTTCTTTACAACAATCAACTATACAAGAGCAAATGGACAACATTTGCCCAACATTGCCCACTCATGGCAGCTCTATGCACAACAGAATGACATGCTGCCCAGTTCTGTACCATCCCCCTGATTTGTTGAAGACCAAACCCTTGTGATCCACAGGGTTTTCACTGGCTGATTTTCAGAAGCAGACCACCAGGCCTTTCTTTGGAGTCTGTCTTAGTCTGGAAGCTCCACTGAAACCTGTTCCAACATCACAGCAACACACAAGCCTCCACTTACAGCTACGCACTGGCCAGGACCCAAAAGTGGGTCTCCATATGAAGAGAATTCTACCACTAAACCCCGACTGCCCCCATTTGATACAGATATAGCTATGGATTACTTCTGTCACCAGTGAAAGTTCCAGCCTCTTTTTAACTTAAAAGAGAATAGTCTCCTTTAAAGGAGCTCTGGTAGCATAGTGGTTAAGGCACTTGACTGCTAACCAGAAGGCTGGCGGTTCAAACCCACCAGCCACTCCTCGGAAGGAAGGTTGGGCAATCTACTTCCGTAGTGATACCGCCTCGGAAACCCAAGAAGGGGTTGTTATGAGTCGGGATGGACTCGATGGCACATAACAACAAAAGTCTCCTTTAATGGAGCTCTGGTGGCATAGTGCCTAAGGCACTTGACTGCTAACCAGAAGGCTGGCAGTTCAAACCCACCAGCCACTCTTCCGAAAGAAGGTGGGGCAATCTATTTCCATAAGATACCACCTCGGCAACCCAAGGAGGGGTCACTATAAGTCGGATCCAACTTGACGGCAATGAATTTGGTTGTTTTTTGTTTGTTTGTTTTAGTCTCCTTTGGAGTTTTCCTACATTCCTTTTTTATTTGCCCTACACAACAATCAGAATGATCTTTTAAAAACACAAATCTAATCATATCTTTCCCTGTTTAAAATCTTTCAGTGGGCTGCTAAGAGTATAAAAATTGGTACTATTTTAGAACGTGTTTGGTATTATCTGGCAAAGCTGAAGATGTGCATATCCCATTTTCACCTCTAGATATATACCTTACAGAAACTCTGACATACATGAATCAGGGGATAAGAATGTTCATAACAGAATTATTCATAATAGCTCCAAACTGGAAGCAATCCAAATATCCATCAACAAAATGGATATATAAATGTTGGTTGTTTTTGTTGTTGTTAGGGGCCGTCGAGTTGGCTCCAACTCAAAGCAATCCTATGTACAACAGAACAAAACACTGCCCAGTCCTTTTCTCACCATCCTTGCTATATCTGAGCCCATCATTACAGCCACTGTGTCAATCCATCCCCTTTTTCGATGACCCTCCACTTTACCAAACATGATATTCTTCTCCAGGGAATGGTACCTTCTGACAAAATGACCAAAGTAGATGAAACGAAGTCTGGCCATTCTCGCTTCCAAGAAGCATTCTAGCTGCACTTCCTCTGGGACAGATCTACTTGTTCTTTTGGCAGTCCATTGTACTTTCAGTATTCTTTGCCAACACCACATCTCAAAAGTATCAACTCTTCTTTGGTCTTCCTTGTTCACTGTCCAGCTCTCACAGGTATATGAGGTGACTGAAAATACCAAGGCTTGCATTAGGTGCACTTTAGTCTTCAAGGAGACATCTTTGCTCTTCAGCACTTGAAAGAGGTCTTTTGCAGCAGATTTGCCCAGTGCAATACGACGTCTTATGTCTTGACTGCTGCATCTACTGGTGTTGACTGTGGAACCAAATTATATGAAATCTTTTACAACTTCAATCTTTTCTCCATTTATTGTGATGCTGCTTATTTGCCAGTTGTGGGGATTTTCACTTTCTTTGTGTTGAGATGTAATCCATACTGCAGACTGAAGTCTTCAGTCTTCATCAGTAAGTGCTTCAAGTCATCTTCACTATCAGCAAGCAAAGTTGTGCTGTCTGTGTATCACAGGTTGTTAATGAGTCTTCCTCCAATCCTAATGCCATGCTCTTCTTCATATAGTCCAGCATCTCAGATTATCTGCTCAGCATACAGACTGAATAAGTATGGTGAAAGGATACAACTGCTGATGCACTCCCTTCCTGATTTTAAACCATGCAGTTCTGTTCGAACAAGGGGATACTGCATGTCCATACTGGTGTACGGAAAGGCTCCTGATGAGCACAATCATGTGTTCTGGAATTCCCATTCTTCTCAATGTTATCCATAACTTGCTATGATCCACACAATCAAATGCTTTTGCATGGTCAACAAAACACACATAAACATCTCTCTGATATTCTCTGCTTTCAGCCAAGAGCCATCGGACATCAGCAATGATATCCCTTGTTCCACATCCTCAGCTGAATCCAGCTTGCATTTCTGGAAGTTCTCTGTCAACATACTGCTGCAAGCATTTTTGAATTATCTTCAGCAAGAGTTTACTTGCATGTGATATTAATGATATTGTTCAAAAAT